TCTCTCTCTCTCTCTCTCTCTCTCTCTCTCTCTCTCTCTCTCTCTCTCTCTCTCTCTCTCTCTCTCTCTCCTCTTTTTTATTCTTCTCGTCTTTTTATCTCTTATCTGAAAGCGTTACCAACATCGTTACAGGTATTTAACACATGTTCCGTTCTCAGATGTGAGTTACATATGTAGATATTGCATATCATAAGCGTTGACCTTGTAGTTTTCCTTCTTTTACAACGAACGCGATAATGTAACCGCGTAACAAATCGATGTGTGTCGGAAATAAGGAATACCTCTATGCAATCGTATTTTCTTTTACGCATATACCGTATGCATATTTTTACGAATGTGGAGGGAATAACGGGATATTCCGGAATAGGATATAATTCAAACTCGTTGCAAATATTTATTTGCAGCTATTAATTATCTCCGTGCATAGTATCTCTTAATGGGAATGATAGAAAACAGCGTTTGTGTTCAGATATATTGCATTTACACATTTTATTCCATATTTACTTGTTATATTTAACAAATATATTTAATCATATATTTGCTATATTTTGTTAAATATAGAAAAAAAATAAGACGAGAGGCGTTTCATATTTGCATATATATATATATGTATCTTCTTTTATTTTTTACCGCAGTTTATGTAATGACAAACATCTCGTATGTCGTAAGAAAAAAGAACATTGACACTTTAGGATATGATAATTATTCGATGATGGAGTCGTTACTTTTAACAAAGTGTCATTACGAAACGTAACGACTACGTCATTGCTAACGCTTTGACGTGCGTCTCGAAAATCCGAAAAATGGTTCGTGGAACATGTTTCTATTACAAACAGGAAACTGCTGGCTATGTGCTACTGTATTTGCAGCCGCAATTTACGCTCGAGTTACACGACCGACCTGACAACGAAGAGCAGCTCGATGGTCAATGATCGGCGTACTTTTACCTCTCCCTTCGAAACGACCGTTTCCGGTCGACTATCGGTTTTTTTTATTTAATTTTTTTCTACCCCTCTCTCTTTCTCTCTCTTCCCCTTATCTTTTTTTACTCCGCAACATATTATACATCTAACTGGGTTTTACTTTGTGTGTGTGTTTCCGTATTACCTGCCATGCCGCCGACAGATGGGGACCAAGTCTCGCCAGAGAAAGGTAATTTTTGAATTTTCATGCTTTTCAAGATTGCCTGCGCAATCAATTTTTCTTTCTTTTTTTCGTTAATATGCATGTCGGCATGCTGACACGATTGTTTTTCTTTGAGTGGCATCTAATTCTCGAGCCTGTCGTGTGTCTAATTGCTCGCTCAGAAAATGTCTTTGTAAATATATTTACAGTGGCAGGTAATGATAAATTCTGAATTACAGTGAGATAATTTAAAAGGATTTGAACGAAACTATTAGAGAAATTGTATCATTCGATATATTATTTAAACACGTTAAATTTTTATGATAATTATATTATGTAATTATATGTTTTATGTAGATAGAGATAAATGTTGCAGGTAGCTTTCGCGTATCATAATTAAAAATCTGTTGCAAAATAATTAAGCTTTAATGTACAAAGCATGCCAAATTTGTGATTTCATATACAGTTTATATCCGTAATTTTATTAATTATTTTATCGATTGGCAAATAAACTTGTATGAATTGTGATAAATATAAATAATAAATACTAATTATAATTTGTTTTTATCAATATAAAATGAGACATTTATGGATATATTATTTTTATACATATAAATTGATTTCTTCTTTTTCGCGAATGCCACTGATATGTAATTTATGGACACAATGAGGCATTCGAGGACTACGAATTGAACTGATATCTTATCGAGTTCGCGTGCTTTCAGTCGCCTCTTCCGCGCGGCTACCCACCCCCGTCTTCGATGATGCTTTTCGACGATGACCCGGGCATCATGTCCGAAGTGGAGACCTCCAGCACGGGATTTCGACGAGGGGGCAAGCAAAGAAGCAGCTTGCCCGTCGTACGAACGCCCAGCAAGACTTTGGAGCGACCACTAGGTAATTCGTTAAATACAGCAGAATATAAATTAATAAGTAGAATTATTTTTAAAATAAATCCCATTATTTTTAAAAATAGACACAATTAATATTTGACATTATTATTATATACATATCATTTACCGTATTTTCTCGATGTTTAAAATTTCGCTGCAGATACCAGATAAAAAAAATATTAATGTAGTAATATCTGAGTACAGAATGTTAATCATTTTTAGCATTAATATTTAACATTCATTTAGTAGTTATTAATATTCAATATTTTTTATTCGATATCTTTCAAATATTACTTAATCAGACATTACTGGCTAAATTATTAAATGTATTTTTTGTATTTTGTAGGACTGGTGTTCCTGCAGTACAGGAACGAAACGAAGAGAGCATTGCTACCGAACGAGATTACCAGCATAGATACTGTCAAGGCTCTCTTCGTCAGAAGTTTTCCGAAACAGCTTACTATGGAATACTTGGATAGTCCTCACGTGAAAGTTTACATACATGATAGCAACAAGGACATGTTCTATGAACTCGAAGATCTAAGGTAACATTCTTATATCATCACAAATCCTTATTCTAATAAAAAATGAAATTCGTAACTTCTTTTATTTTTTATTCTCAAACAATCAGGCAATATTTCAGAGAGAATATCTTATTGTTATAAACAATTATTATTTTTATTTAATTATATCAAAATTTATCACATAAATATTATCCTTTGATATTTCATAAGCTTTACATAGAATGATCACTTTGATTATTGCAAACTTCGATAGAGGAACATTTATCACTGCAAAATGATATAAATTTATTTTGGTTTTCAGATCGCACCTGAGAGATATCAGGGATCGCAGTGTCCTGAGACTTTTCGAGAGTGCCGATGGAGTGACGGGGATGCCGGGGCCCTTGGGGGTACCGGGAGGTGGCGGCGGTCTGCCTCCCCATTGGGAAGATCAGAGCTACTTCAGCGAACCGGAATTCGACAGTGAATATCAGCATCAGCACATTCACAAGAGCAAGGTAAGTGTGCATTAACGAAGCTCTGTCCTTAGTTCGTCGTTTTTATTCTTCTTTAGGGATGAGATTGGTTTTTACGTAACATGGCGTACCTTATTATGTAATATTGCGTTAGAAAGATAATCTCTTTTTTTCATCATACTTAATATGATTACGAGAATATTCAACAATTCTAATATATTTCTTATTCTTATATTTATAAGAACAACGTATTGACTATAAAATATTCGTTATTAATTAAATGTACGATATAAAAGTATTTTTAAAATGTTTAATTTAGAGAAACAATTTCTTTTATTTAATTTTTAAAGAGTTATAAAAAAATTGCTGGTAATTTTAGGAAATATATTGTTTTATATTACAAAATTTTTAAAGATTAATTAAATACGATAGAACAACGATTTATAAAAATTTATTCGGCATACGTCACATGTACACAAAATACATTCGGCATACATTAGAGCTAAGTCTTGAGTTTAATTAAGCGACCGAGACATACGTTGCTGATCGATCAAGGCGGTTTCCGTCGTGCAATTAAGTCTCGTTTCGTTTCGCTGAGGTCAATCGATCAGCACACATCTTAAAACCACGATGAGTATTCCGTTATTAAAAACGAGCGTTGTTATTTATGATCAGTTTCTTGAATTATAATACTGTCATATTACATCAACATATTTTACTTCATTAATGAAATACTTAATTAATTAATTAAATTCTACTTTTACGTATAAATTATCACCACGACGCCTTCACCACACCTTTAGAAACTTCCGATCATTTGTAACAACATCAATGATTTTAACTGCTCTTTGTAAAAAAAAACCTATTAAAATTCTAATATCTTCAGGTTTTATTTGATTCAAAGCTTTTTTTAAATTCTTTATACTCGCTATCTTACTTCTCGCTATCTTACTGATGAAGATAGTTATTTTTCATTATAATTGACCACGAAAGGGGGATTCTCATAGTATTTGGAAGCTTCAGACTTAATCATTATACAATTAATCGGACAGAAATTGCAAATAAATATAGGGCAAGATGTTTTTTTTTTTTGCCAAGCGCAAACTTTTTCATGGCAATATCGTATCTCCGAATATCTGTAACGCTTGATAGATAAAACAAATCTAAAAATATCGAATGCGTTATCGGAGTACGACGTGATACGAGAGAAAAAGAAGAATCAATGAAGAAAGAGATCAAAAGATCCCGTGTCTCGGCACAGTGAATGACAAACATCTTCCCTCGTAATGACTAAAAATATTCAGCGATCTATAACATGGCGTGAGGTTCCTGGGAACTGGTTCTCGAGAGTTCGTCGATGTTTCATCGACCGTCATCAAGGCGACCGTCGTTATTCGGCGCGAGTCGGATCTCTCGCGAATAAATTCCGCGAGAGTTCCACGCAAGTGTCGCCTCGCGCGTGATTAGGCCGCGTCGTCTCATTGGTGATTAGAACGCTTTACACGCTGGTATAGCCGGCAAGAACAACGCGCCGGAATAGAGCTTCTTGGACACCGTTCTCCAGCCGATGACCAATGCCTTGCCAAACGGTTCCTCGGCACATCCGTCGCAGAGGTCCATCACTTGCCTGACTTCACCCTCGGCGGGTTCTCGCTCGTCTTCCTCATCCACCCCCTTCGTCAATTGAAGCCCGTAATTCGTCAATCCCGTGAAGTAATCATCGTCCAAGCCTTGAGAAATGAAATATCCATCATCGAGGATCGACCCGTCGCCCAGCTGTAGCAGTCCTCTCTTCTTCTTCTCCGCCTCACGTTTTCCCAGCTTCTTATCATCCACGCTCTCCGTTTTTGGCACGAAAGTTACCTGACAATTTGAAAAGCGTTACGTGAAGCGACATGCTATTAGTTGGTTAAAAATTTATAGCTGTACAATATGTATTTCTTCGTAAAAGAAGTAGGAGGAAAGACATTTTCTAAAGAAAGAAAATTGAGTTTCTTAAAGCTATTTTCTAGCTAAAGGATTTCTTTTAATTTAAAGAAAATTAGATCATATAAAATCGATGTAACATGAAATTATTAAACTGCGAATATTTCGAACTAAAATTTACTGGAAAGTGTAAAAGTTCTTTCAGTATGATGTAAAATAAATGAAATTTTTCGAGGCGATACAATGAAAAATCTTGGAATTCTTGCACAAGCAAGTCAAACGCGTTTATCGAAATTATTTCCACTCTGATTCACCATAGTTTTTTAATTTCTTGCGTTAACTAGGTCGGAAACTGTGTTACAAATTTACTATTTAACATTCACTGAAAAGTATTTTCTCCGGATTATATCAAAAATGAATGCAGATGTTTAAAGTATTAATATTGTAGTTTAAATTGACACGGAAAAGAATCTTCAACGAGTTGAAATTGCGACGAGAAAATAAAAGGTATAAACACGTGACACAAGACGGATAAGAAGATAGGGATTTTCGAGGATGTTCTATTAGCGCATTTACTTCTGAAAATGGAATAGATACCAACATGTGAAAGGCACTTAATCCATACTTATCGCGCTCACCTTATCGTCGGAACTACTAGTTTCTTTTAAAGTTTTCCCAGCGTCTCGCTTTACGATCGATTTCTTCGATTCGGTCAGACTCGACATCACCGTTTCATCCTTGATGTCTCGCTTCCTCGAGCTGTTTTTCTCTCTCTTGAAGAGATTATGGAAGGGCCCGTCCGCGAAGATCGATGTCGATCCAGGAGCAACGGGTAACCGTTGCTGCGTCGGGAATTTATTGACAAACTGTGACGGCAGTGCGGGGAAGGGTGTCGTGAAAACGTCGAGATTCAAGGGCGGGAGAGGCTGCGGGGGTGATTCCGGATGTGGCGGTAATGCCGGATGACGAATGGTCAGGCCGTTTTGTACGACCTGTATCGACGCCCCCGGATTGATCTTCACCTGGAACGTCATTCGCACGCATGAAACATTCATGTTCAATAGAGTTGGAGAAATGGTATAATATATCAAATACGTTTGACGTTTCAAGTAAAACGTGCGTAATGTCTAAGAGGCAGGAAAAGTGTGAAAAATGATGGCGAAAATGTCCAAACGGAACGTTCTAATTTTTCGGATGTTTCCTTAGATACTCATTAGACGCCTCCGAGTCTTGTTTACGGTGGAGCTAATCAGAGAACGGAGTGACGGAAGGTAATTAGCTTGATGATACGGAAGCGAACGACACGTGCGCGTGTTCTCGAGTGTAACGAAGTGAGAAAATGTGATTGTACTTGTGTATTGATCTGTCCCCCCGTGAGGAAGGGATGCGGCGGTAAGGGCGGTCCGGTTACAGGCGCTCGCGTGGTGGTCCTCGGCGTGTTATTACTCGTGTCGTGTTCGTAATGATGGGCATGATGGTGCTTGTGATCTTTGTGCGCCTTGCCCGCGGTCAGAGCAACGTTGTAGAGCTGCACCATTGTCAGTTCCCCTAAATAACCACCGGAACCTGAAAGACAGTAAATATCAGTTAGTAAATGTCGTTACCTAAATGATAAATCGTATAATTCAATGTACGACAATGAATCCATTATTTTTGAGATAATAACTCGATGTTCGATGATTATGCTTACGAAATTATCGATGGCACAAAATTATTCTTACCCGGTGGTGCGCCTTCGCCCTCCAAGAAACCACCACCCAGCTGTCGTTGCTCTTGCCCAGAGATGGCGATTCCGCCGCCTTTGATAATGTGTCCGACTAACTGAAATAAGCATAATAATGCAAATTTTATAATTATATCCTGATAATCCCTCTTTCATTTGTCAAGGCATTACGAGAAACTAGTTTGAAAATTCATTTGGTTTAATGCCGACTTAATTGATTGCTCGAAGATAATCCAAAAAGTTTAGCAATATAAGCTACCAAATACGCAAATAAAATAAAAGACCCGGATTGTGAGTCTTCTGTGCGCGATATAACGCTGTGGATAGATTGCACATCCGCAGTCGAGCGGCGTTATATGGAAATTTAAATTGGTTTCTGTCCTTTTTTATTTGAAAGTAACCTTGGTATCCTCGGATGAGAATATCGCGATATAGAATTCTATACCTTTCCATTTCCCGTTTATTCTATTTCGTCGTCATTCTTTCCCGTTTCGTTTCTGTCCGACGCAATCTAAATGCAGGAAGCCGCCGTCTTGACAGCTCCACTGCGTTTTAGAACGAACATTGAACGCGTCTCGTATGTAATTGTGAATTTTGCATTTTGAGTCAACAACAACCGCAATTACGCGTGATAATTATAACAATTTTATTAGCACAACGACACGTGGATGGGAAACGCGTCATCGCGTCTGCCTTGAAATAAATGATTTTCTTAATCATTGCGCGTTGGAAAACCTATATCGCGTGATGTAATATGTCTGTAAGAAACGTAGTTCAATTTCCTTATGTATTATGCAAGAGATGAATGACTCTGTAAAATGTGCTATACCCAAAAACACACATTAAGTCGACGATATTGCGACACGATAGTGTACTTATCATGATAACGGCATGACTAAACGCGACATATTCAGGAACGTGACTCGTATACGAGAAAGAATACCGGAAGCACATTTATTAGAGAAATTCTTGGCGCATTTAACATGAACGATAATTGAAATGATTGCAACATGAAATTCTTATACAACTACACGATACTGTCGAAGCAAAACAGACTTCTCTTATCGTTGTGAAATATCTCTCTTTTTCGAATTCGTATTTAACTTTTCTGCCGATGAATTCAACTGGGATAAATCTTGATATTGTTTAATGCAAAAATATTGAAAATTTACTTGATATATATTTTTAATGTTGATCTCTAATTAAAATTGTATTAAAATTGTATTAACCTATTTCTATCTTGAGATATAAAACTTTATTTTGAGTATCTCTAATATTAATACGAAATAGATTTTCAATATGAGAATCATAAAATATTTATAAATAACTTCAAAGTACAAATGCTTTTTTGTACCTTGAAAGATGTCCGTGAAATATTCATAAAATCACGATATGTGAGATTATGATAACTATAGCGCTTCATTGTCTCGAAAGAATTTAGTTATTCATGAATATTTTTGCATGAGAATTCTTGAATTATTGCTTTGATCAGAATATATACTGTTGCATAAAATTCGGAAAAACGCGTATCTTTTAACAAATTTTGTTTTCTACAGTTTATAATTATGTTTAAAATATTTGGTAAAATATTTTACAAAACTTTCTTGCATGTTTTTTTCTCAATTTTTACGTAAAATTTATACTTTATGGGTACGTGTACCATAAAATGTAAACTTATTATTTTGAAAAATTTTAAGTTCATTTGACAATTTTGGTGTAGAATTTCATTGTAAAATAATTTGGCAATATTGAATATTTTGACAATAATAATAATAATATTATAGGTGTAATATATTCAAACGTGATTTTTTATTTCGAATTTTATCACTTTTAACAACTATATTCATTTAGAAATTAAATATCGTTTTAAAATTAAGTCAATTCTGCTTTACTTCATTATATCGCAATAAACTGAGAAATTAGATAAAACCGGAAAACAATACGTAACTCTACGACAAAATTAATAGCGCATGAATTTTTCCGTGTCACAGTGGTAAAGCCACGTGTACGGTCAGACACGCGTTCTCTGTGTTCGGGAATAGTCACTTTTTTACACCGCGTATTAACGAAAGTACTTTTCAACGATTAATTGACTTGGCATTAACGCATTCGTTCCATGCTCGCAATTTTATCGCCGTTGACATTTGTGTCACGAGTTCACCATGCGCTATAATTGGAAAGAAACGCATCATTTTCAAATATCTCTCCGAGTATTGTCAAAACCAATAATAATTAAATCTATTTTTATCTATACATGTGTTATATTAAAAAAAAAATTAAAAAATGGCAAATAATACTAATCAGAAATATATAACGATTATTAATTTTACAATTGAAGTTTTCTGTTTTTGTAATTGCATTATCACAATTAATTGCCTAATTGCCGTTGAAAAAACTTTTTTAAATGATACAGTTTTTTGAGTTTCATTATTCGTAATGCATCCGATATGTATATATGTCTCCTATATATGTCTTACACGCGAGAAAATGCAGGTCACGCGAAAAATGTTAAAAAAAGTGACACGGCGCGTGCTCTAATTAAGGCCAAATGACGATTAACGTTCAGAGTGCCGCATGAGTAGAACAGACTATTTTAGTCGCGGAAGGACGGACGAAACACGAGTTAGCGATTAGCGGCACGATCATAAAATTCAACTCTAGTCCGAGAGACACCCGCTGCAATTTTTTTTTATTAAAGTACCAAGGACAATGCACCACGATTGCACCGTCGCTGCCGAGTTTGTCGTTCGATTCAGATTTGCCATTACATAAACGCAATCCCAGAGGGGTTTGACGCGTTTCTTACGCATTATCGACAATTGCAACCTCATCAAAGTCTCGAAATCGCTCGGGGGATAATACCGTGCGCGCTCGCGGTTCAAGCCCTTCGAACAATACGACAACCTCATTCGACGGTTCTGTCGAATTCGCATTAGTATAGTCGAGTCCACGTCATTACAAGTTCTGAGAACACGTTTTCAGAAAATGAGAGGCAAATGGCGTTCTCCTAGCGAAGCCAGAATTACGTATTTTCGACGAAAGTTTCCGACTTTTAAGCCGTGTGTAAACATAGATGAACTTTAGAGACTTTAGGTAAGAGCGAAGCAGACTCATCGATTTTAAACTCGATGAGAAGCTCTCTTTATTTGACTCGAGAGAATTAATCTGCTAATTTCGATTTAGGAAAGTTAATTATTTCTTTTTCCGGAATATATTACACTAGTCTATTTATTCGAGAAACAAATAGGGTACCGAAGACAGTATAAAATCGTGCTTACCCTGTTGTTGAACCCGCGACCTACGCGCTCATCGTTGACCCAGATCTGCCATTCCCCGGTGCGGCCGTTCCAGCTCTGGCAGGAATGGTACCACTTGTTAAGTCTCAGCGGATAATTCAATCTGAACAAGTTGTGACCGTTGACGTTGAGCATGAAGTAAGAACTCCTCGGTGTGTTCGCGACCCACGCCAGTATCCCCCGTGGCTGGTCGCCGACTGGAAGTCGAGGGTGTGAATTAACTCGTGCATGATGCAAAGAGAAAGGGAGAGACTTTCTCGTGCACTGTAACATTCCCATTAAAAATGGTAACTGACAAGACTTACTAACGGTTGCACACACAGACACACGCGAGACTCCGATGGTTTCAAGCATGGTTTCATATTTTCGGACACTCCAGTTCCAGACTAATTGGGTAAAGATATATAAAAATCTCGTGTTTATATTACTTTAAATTAGTTATTATAAGATAATATTAAAATAAAAAATAACATGTTAATATATTAACATTAAAATATCTTTTATCTTTAGTCATTTACTGATGACATATTTTTTACTACGAATATAAAAATTCTGTTATAATATTATGCTTTTAAAATTAATAATTAAATTTCAGATTTTGATATTATTTATATAACAATAAAAGTTAAAACTTATTACGTCACTTGATAATTTTAATTTGTACAGTTTTAAAAAATACCGTTTCTATTATTTATTTGGTTACAGATTTGATAATTAAATTATTAATTGTGCAAGACCTCTTTTGGAAATAAACTTAATTTTAATCACTGTTTTTTTTCTGATAATACGATTAAAAAATTAATCAACGGATTAAGTATTAAGGGTACATTTATTTTTCCTTACGGTGCGGTACATTTCCAGTATATCTATTGATTCTGGAAGCCGAGAGGCGTTTTTAGACACATGCGAAGGCAGGGACTTATTGTTGGTGTATTTATGACACCGCGCATATCCGCCTATTGTCACGCACGCCTGCGCCTAGGGAAAAAAAAAGAAAGAATACCGCGTGTATATGTGTATGCAACTTTCTACTGGCACAAAAAAACCACAAACCGCGCGGAACCTTTCTAAACTGCATATTGAAACCTAGCCCGACAACGTCATTGTTCGCATGGGGATAATAATGCGCGCGGCCGTAAATCGATTCTTACCACATGAGGGATGGCACGATTGTGACTTGAAGCTAATCACTGATCTGCGAAAAGAAAGAGACTAGCGTGGGAATTGATTATGCAACTGAGTAATTACATTATCGGGTACAGTATTCGAAGATTAAATCTGTCTCAATATTTGTTATATCATATAATTTGCAAATTTCATAATTTGAATTCGACAGGAGAAGGAGTATATTAATAAAACTTTATTTTATATATGCTATATGAAAACTGCAAAATAGTTAAAGAACATTATTATATGTCGCTATAATGCATTATAGCGATAAGTAGATCAACAAGTTTCTAAATTCCAGATATTACGAAAGATGCATTATATCGATATTTGTACCTCGAGCTCTTTGATTTTTTTTTTTTAGTTAAAATTATGAAATACGAAACACGACTTTAATTAAAAAAACAATTTGCATGGAAAATATTATTTATAATAATTTTTAACAATATTTTTTTCATTGAAAACAATTGTTCTTTATATATATGAACATATGTATATCTTTATATATATATATTATATATATATATATATATATATATATATATATATATACATATGTTCATTTTTAAATGCTAACAATCGAATATATCGGTATTGTTATTTGCTTTATTGTTTGCTTATCCAGAGTTTCCGCTGTTTTAGTAAACAATATATCAATTGTGAGAAATTAGGTCAACAGTGAATTAGAAGCGGATGGTGTAAAATTTGTTAATCAAACACAACTCGTACCGCAATTTAAAGGACTTGAATTTTTGCTGAGTTTTCGCAGCCGTAACAAATTTTCAATGTAAAAGAAAGACTCGTTTATCCTTTCTTTTACATTGAAAAAGTATCATTCTGACAGATCAACAGACCGTATAATTTGTATCAAATTTTAACAATTGGTTTTTTTTTATAAATGTTAAAATATTTTTATTGAATATTTCAAGTAGGTTTTGTTTTAATAAATAAAATATTACAAACCTTTTAAATTTAGTAAAATTATATTTTTTAAATATATACAATATTCAATTTCTTGTTCAATTTTTTGACAAACAGCGATCTTCTTCTAATCTTTTAAGGAGAAAACATTAACTTTTCTCAAATCGTAACTTACCACGTATCTTACTTTTGCTACGAAAAGCTAGAATCTCATCGCAATTAATTTCACGACGCTTGTAACAACGTTACGCGATAACGCGCGATACTTTCAACGATACACGCGGAGTTTCGCTTTCACATTCGATACATCTCACGATGATAAAAGGTGAAAGGAGAAAGAAACGCACGCACTCAACTCGACACGCACTCACCTGCGTAAGAGAACAGGGGATGGTCGTTGGAGTGATTGTGGAATTTGGTCCACATGCAGAGAGTGAACTCCTTCATGTTCGGCAGATCCACCTTGTAATGGATGTACTGCAAAATGGATATGTATAATACATATATCGTGTTAGAACGTGTTTACAAGCTACTCTCAAGCTCGGCTGACGTTGATTTCGTACGCCTCATCGCGATCCGAATTGTCAATGCACGGCGCGCGGCCGAAGATTAATGCTCTCCGTGCGATTTAATCGTTGGAATGTGTACTCCGTCGCGTATGCATTATTCGCATTATATGACATCGGTCTTACATTATTAATCATCGATCCCCACGGCTCCCGTTGAAATGAACGTTAGGTAAACGCGGCGCGAACGAGCATGTGCCCGCGGGTATCGCGGGTATAATCAAGCGAACATAATCGAACATGAGTCGTGGCATGCGAGAGAAACTGTTGTTCGATTTCAACGTGGCTGATTAGAATTAGAATTCGAATAGAAATTTGAGTACCACCAGAACACCCGATCCGGCGAAATATCCGGCGAATAAGTAACAGTCTGCTCGCGTGACGAGAGGGAAGTAAAACGAGAGGGAAAAACTTTTCAGTGTAACGTTACGTGCGATTACACGTATTTTCCTTTAATTAACGCACACGAAATTGCAGTGATCATCGTGCGCGTCTAAATTATCCGATTATATTAGTTGTTGACGCGGTACACACCGATCGATTGAAATTTATGTATGAACAGTGCTCAGCTCTGGGACATACCTCGAATATATATTGATGAACAACGCACACATTTCGTGCCTTAGGCAGTGAAATGTGCCTGCTGCGTGCAGAATCATCGATATAATATACAGGCAAATATCGTGTTTATTCTGCTACTTCCCATAACAAACGCAAAAGACTTATAACAATTAACATTAAAAATAACATGTTGTTATTAACATATTTTAATTTCCCAAAAGTTTAATGAAAATTGTGGCATCGAAATAGGCGAGGAAAATTGGGAATATTTATACGCGGTGTTATAAGTCATATTTAAGAAAATATTATATTCGGAGCTTTTGATATTTTCGCGCTAAATTTTTATTTCATGATCTTTTCATTACCTTAAAATCACAAGTTTTGTTCATATCATACTTTCCCAGCAGAGACACATCGTGCGCGCTGAAATGGCACCGCGTTTTTTCAAGAATTTCGTGACGAAATTATCGCAATTATTTATCGCGGGATCTACGCGTTATCATCGCGTTTCGATCTTATTTCCACAGATCCCATTGCTCACAGACCGCATTTTTCTTCCCACAGTTCCTAAACCAATTTTTTGCCAAGCGTCATTGCTATTATTCACGTCCTTTTTAAAGCGAAACAGGCACGCATTTCGCGAGAATGCGCGCTTTTTCGTCGGCAATTGCGTGAATTCGCGGTTAATCGATTACGCGTCGCCGACGTGAGGAGAGCCGGAGGGGAGGGAAGGGAGGGGGGGGGCGCTTAGAGGCACTTCTTGCGCTCGTAATTTCTCTCCGATGAGCGGGATCTCCGATATGGAGAACGGATTTAGCATTTAGCCAGAAGCGGCCGCAAAATCAGCGACAGCGACGACCGCGGTCGAGATTGCAACCGGCGCAACGTCCAGTTCCTTTTACGGCCGTCAGCTCGCATGAACTTCCCTCTCGGTATAGCGCGCGTTATACCGGCAGCGCTATAGAAATACGCGCGTCACCGCGCATTACGTTCGCCGTGACTTGACAGGCAATGTTTCAGCCGGCCTCTAAGAGGCGACCGTAAATTTGACGGGCGGGATGAAATATCCAATCGCGCACCCCGTGGCGATACCGCTCCCTCAATTTCCCTACTGTTTGCGTTTGGATGATTTGTACCTGCAATTCCCGTGACTTATCGACACGTCGAATTACAACGTCGAGCGATTGGTCTTGCCCGTTTCTCTCTCTCCCCCTCCCCTCCTCCCCCTTCCCTCCCCTTCCTCTCCTGACAATCGGAATTATTAATACCTGAGAGAAAATAAAATCGCGTTGACGTTGTGATTAAGCACGCGGCACGTTTCAATCGACCGGCGACGACATTTAAGCGCACCAATATTTCACTCGGACGAAAGTCGTTTCTCGTTAAGAGAGCGGAGGCTTTACTCGAATAAGAGCACCAAAAACAATCACAGCCTTAAATAGGCGATCTCGCGTTTATATCGCCGCCGGTACTTTGTACTACTACGAAAGCGCGCTTCCACCGTAATTAGATCGATTCTCCTCGCCTCGCCTCGCCTCGCCTCGCCTCGCCTCTCCTCATATTTAGCCCCGATCGCGCTGCTTTTGGCTGGAAACGTTTCCGACTAAGGTTTCGCCTAATGTCGCTCTCGATTTTCTCCCCGTGATAAATTCGCAAATCGCGAATTTCCACCAATTGGCAGCCGCGCTTAATATCCCGCCTGGTATTATCGACCGTCACCGAGAGGCGTCGGCCGATTAATTATGACGGGGAATGAAGCTGATGAGCGATCGCGCGATAGGCATCCCCGTGCCCCGAGGAAAATGATCGTGTATTAACGACCGTAGAGAAAGTCGCACGCTGACAGACGGGCGCCGCCTTTGTTCCGCTCGCCTCTGGATCCATTTGCGATTTCGCGATTTCGCGACAGTCTCTCTTTTCCCTTTACACCTGCGACTGCAATTACGCCCGCCTGGCATCTTGCTTGCATGGACGACGTTCCCTGACAATATCACCTTGGCTCGTGTATTCCAACGAATAACAAGAAATACGTTCCGTCTTACTCTTTCCATCGTCGATTTTTATCACATCGATCGTATCCACGGATTAATCTCTCTCTCTCTCTCCGCTAGAAATGAGATTATCCGGATGTATCGCGTAATTCTAATCCCATTTCAAATCTTCGACTTTCCTTCGAAATTGCGGGCGATTGTTTTGACGCGGCAATGTCATATTAATGTTTATTCGCGCCTTTATTTGTAATGGTAATATTAGATCATGTTACGAAAGGTCTGTTATTAACTTTATTTCCACATATTAATACAATATTTGTATGTGTGTGTATACAAATATATTTTATTAATATGTGGAAATAAATAATAACTTTGATGCCTTTAAAAAATATTTAATGTTAATTTTTTGATATTTGAATATTCAGAATAAATAGTACGTATAAAGCATTTTAATGGTAATATTTTAATAATCAGAGTATTAATAATTGTGTGTTTTAATTTAAACAAAAACCTTCACTTATTTAAACAGAAAAACACGTGCAGCTATATCGGTGAAGGCCGTTGATTAGCATTCTAAATGAAGTGAAACAGTTTAACTTCCTTTCTCCTTAAATCAATAGGTTGTCATACGTAACAAAAAAATATCTAGAGTCAACGTGAACGTCATATCTTTTCACGATAACTCGAGCATCAAAATTGCTTTCATCAAATGTGTGATATATATATATATATATATATATATATATATATATATAATTAATCCGGATGTCAGCATGAAAGCAATATCGCAATATTTCCATATATGATATAAGTTTACATTGTAATTAGATAATTTAGCTTTATCCGCTTTCCCACAATCTCGATGATTCTAAAATTTTCCGTCTTGATTTTCCTGGTTATTATACAAATTTGCCCGGGAATATTGCCGCTGCCGCATCAGACGAGCAGGTATAATAGATATAGTTTAGGTAGAACGTTCACTTTCTCGTCTGCGGGATACATTGAAACAAAAATGTAGACGCGCTCCCGTGTGTTTTGCCTCTAACGAACCGTACGAGACGTCTCTTGAGCGTCTCTGTAGCGTCGTGGCTGGGAACTGGGGATTGAAAGGCAGACGTGACGGGATTTCGCTTCGTTTTCGGGATCACGGCTATTGATAATAATTCAGAACTCGTTTCGAGTCGTAGCGCCCGAGGAGGTTCCCGGCGTCTCGAGAGAGTGTTTTCTCTTACTTTCGTTGGCCGTAGAACGCGTGTCATTTCGCTTGCGCCGCGGATCTCCCGGCCGGTGCAATGCCAAGTTGCACTCTCTCGAGCGTGAAGTGCGCTTCACGTAGCGCGTGAACGATGGAATTCCGTGTTGGTCACACGCGAGATCACTAGTTAATAGTCGCGAGGATTGGATATTGTGCCAGATAAAAAAGAATAAGAACGGAAAACAGGAAAAGAAAGAAGGCGAAGAAGAAACAAGACGTGGTTTCAGTCATCGATGCGAAAATTCTCACTCTGCTTCTCGCTCTGATGAAGTAAATTACAATGTTTACGAAATGTTGGTATTTAATAATGTATTACAACACGGATAATAAATCGTGTGATGTATTACATTTTAGTATCATAAATTTTTATAATTTATTCGACATAGACAAATTTTTTTAAATGCGAGAGTCTTTGAATTTTTATTTAAGAATATATATCGATGAACGAAATCTATAATTCTCATTTTTTTCAATAATTGCAATGCAGTAATCGTTTCATTGATAAATCGTAAAATCGTGTTATGCTAACTATGCATCAAATGATATCGGAATTGTACCGTAATTGCTTCTCTAACTGCATTATCTAATCATTATGTATAACATGAAGTAATTTATATTAGGCAATGATAATTGCAATTCATCTTTAGATTATCCGCGTATGTAGATAGATATGTAACAATATCAATAACGCGAAACTAGAACAAACACCATTCTATGGCTTGGAAAACAAACATCCTACGACTATATTGACCGTTCGGTTGCCATGATCATTCTCGCGTATTTGTATGTGATACACATTCTTGATGGATAATTTCGAAACGCTCTACATTTCATTACGTGATATAGATTTTCTTTCATATTCATCAATATTAAGTTTATTCCATACGAAATGTAAAATTATAATGAATTATATTTCGAATACATCAATTAATTCTTGCTTGACATTTGATTTAAAACTTTTCAACTCTTGTTTTGGAATTCTGATCGCTGATCGTAGAATTACGATTAAAAATTTTAATTGGCATCGCTATTTGCTCCTTTGTTCTATCGCGTCTGTAAAATATGAAGTCGACGAAAGCATATACCATGTTCGATTTAGGATATAAAAATCCAATCGTCATGCTCGACGACCTACCTCGAAGTATAGCTGCTGGGTCATGACGATCTTATACAGAGAGCACGTCTCTTCGTCGTGCGGCAGCAGCAGATGATGAGGACTGTCCACGTCGTAGAGCGTCTGCGTAGGCGCGTTTCCGAAAATCGATGCCTCCTGATGCAGTATACCTGCGCCGTCGGCATGGCCAGGCACGGCGATCGGTCGCCAGGACGACGAGATCGCTCGCACCTCGCATAAGAATGCGATGAAAATAGCGCACGCAAACGGGACCGGCGTCATCCTCGGGCTGCTCGTTTCTCTCGAGCTACCTGCGAGATTGAAAGAATCGAATTTATTCCTCTCTCGTCAACCGTTTTGCAATCGAGAAAAATTTGAGAAAATAAATTCGCAGCAATTAATTCTTCGCTGTTCCAGACATTTTCATTTTATCCGTCTCATTTACATGACGATAACGTTAATGCGATATTTTTTATGTTCACATGTCATGTGTGATTCTGATATTACATGAAATTTTTCAATGTTTCTTTTTCTATGAGTAATTACACGTTTTTAAATTAGAAAGAAAGAAATTTGCATCTCCCTGTGTTTTATTTTTACTTTTTTTTTTTTTAGATAAAAACGTACATTACTGACTAATATCGTGAGATAAATCGTAAGCGGACTGATATCGCGGGTAGCGTGTGATATCGGCATATCAATCGACGAGCTTCTCCGCTCGGTTAATTATAATCGAGAGGTTTACGACCATGCTCGATATAAACCCGGATACCCGGGAAAGTTATATCAAATCGAGTTTCGATGAAACGAGATCCACCGCGGCCTCCGCCGCCACCGCGAGTAATATAATGCAGAAAAGAACGGCGTGCACACGCAACGGCATTATTTCGTTGCGAAATTTCATTCAGGCGAGCGTGACGAACGTTATACCGCTTAAGAACGCAGTTAAGTCGACAGTAATCCCTTTTCTTTCGCACGATACATTTTCATCTCATTACGTCGAGCGTCTTTGGTATCGCCAATGTGCTTGGACGGCCTCGCGAAGGAATCAGACCCAGATACGAGATGTAGATCGCATCTGAATACCTTCTATACTCTCCTCTCTCTCTCTCTCTCTCTCTCTCTCTCTCTCTCTCTCTCTCTCTCTCTCTTTCTCTCTCGGACTTGGATAATTAATCGGCGTCTTCTGCTAACTGCGCCCGTGAAAAATGCTTACACGGAAAAAACATTTTTGCTAAAAATTGGATCAAATATAGATCCGGAAATGGTCTTTGATGTCACCGAAATATTTATGTAGGATGCTTAAATTGCTAGAATATCAAAATATTATCATCATATTCAAGTCTTACATAATAATTTTAATGATTGTCCAGTAAAATTATTTTCAGATCTGTATTTGGTCAAATTCTTAGATATTTTAGCAAAACCGTGTATTAATCTATATGTCTATATATTTACGTGATGCAAAGTATACGTTTCCCTTACATAACATATTTCTCGTATGCCTGGTTCGTAAAATCCATGGCATGCGTCCGCTTCGGGAAACGTGAAACATGCGAGATACGGCAGGAGTGATTTTACGACTGATATAAATCACCGTTATGAAGACTGTTGTCTTGTGCTGGTGCATAGTAATGTCGGTGCACTAATCCGCACCTAACACACGTCCAATGATTTCCTAATTACACTAGAGCACGCCTTCTCGATTTTGAATCGTCGATAGTCACGTCAAGAAATCGAACAGGGAAACGTAATATGTACATATGTGCTTGTATCTTATCATAATGCAAGCGATTGTGTTACCATAATACAACCGGAGGAATTTTCCGTTTTACGTCGGTTGTAGACGGAACTGGTACGATTGGATCTGGATCCGTCAAACGGTAATGTTAACGGAACGGAAAATAATGCAAAATGTAATCAACGAACGTAGGAACTGACTTCCTACATCGATGAATCTACATGTCCGAAGCGTTTGCTTCTAAATTCCAAATAATTGAGGTGCGTCACACTCGAGTGAGCGCATTTGAATAACTACGTCAGAAACTCAAAGTTAAATGAAAGTTAAGATTGGATCGAATTGATCAAGGATTATCATGAAAGTGTCACTATTAAATTAATATAACTGATCTATTTCGTGTGACAAGAATATTAATAATGTGCATGAAATGGTCATTATTGCTAACGTAATTATACGGGATATTCGAAATTATTTTGATATGTAAATATGTGTATAATTGTAATGATTTTATGGTAAAATTTCAGAAAATTGATAGACCGCCGATTAATCAATAATATTCTGATCACTGCCGTTTATTAATTTCTCTAACACTTTTATTATTTTTATTAAAAGCTCACGTTTTAGATCCTTTACCATACACTGTGCACATAATTATAAGAATCTCTTTTCTCCGACACCTTTGTGTCATTGCTTTTGTCATTTGTATCAGCGATATCATTCTCATCACGGTCATTAATGCAACCGTTCACTTTGTCATAAGAGTGTCTCACATATCTTGCATGGAGTGTAAATTGCCGAGTTACTTTGTAACACTATCGCGAAACAAAATTGCGATCAACAGTGAAAGCCATCAAAGCGAAAATTAAAATGCAATGCCCTGAATACTCGGCGACGTTGAAACGACTATATTTTCCGCATAAATCACTTCAATTTCCTATTGGATTAACGGCTACTATATTAAAAAAAATTTTGTTTTTAATAAAACAAGAAAACACTAATATATTACAATGATCGCTCTAATATTCCTTGCATAAAACAAAAGTAATAAATAACGAAAAAATTTCACATATAAATACATGCAATGAAAAATAAGGGTGTTTTAGAAAATTGTTAAAAATTTATGTTAAAGCATTAAAAGATATCCGGATTTATAAAGAATTAAATTATTAATAGATTTTTATTCGAAGCATTGAAAATGAAAAGCTGAACTGGCACATATAAAACTTATCATCATTTATATAATAAATTGCCACCGTACAAAATTTACAGGATTTATAATTTTATAAATAATTAGTGAATTTTTAATTTGCATGCTTTAATTATCTCGCGCTCAATGCTTTATCTATGCTTATGTATTAAACGAGATCGAGAGACACTTCCGTAAAAAAAATGCACAAAGTTGCACGGATATGACAAGTGACATTTGTCGAGCGTTTAGAAGCACTACAGAAGATTAGACACATTCAGATCCACGTTAACATCTCTTCTCGAATATTTCGGATATCGTAAAACAATTGGCGCGAAACTCACCCAGTGATCACAGTTGGACTCGGACAGTATGGAAGGAGGTAGATCCTCGCGGTCTCGGAACGGAAAGGTAACTGCCCGCTCGTTGAGCTCGCCGTGGATCTGGCAAGCTCGCAGAAGGTGTATGCACCTCTCCTACCTGGGTGTTTGATACACCTTTTGCCTCGTGAGCCTTTTGCTTCGCTCTTCCCCGCGTACGAATCGCCGCGCGTTGTCGTCACAAGAGCGACTCTCACGTGTGCAGCGAAACGTCACTGGCCGATTACGCCTACCCAATTCGTTTTTTTTTTCTTTTTCTTTCTATTCTCTTTCTACATGAAAAGTGCAGGACATTTTTAACAAAAATTTAAAATTCTATTCTCTCTATATCCTTCGATTACTGATTCTTAAAATATGAATAGAGCATATTGCATTTTTGAAATTGCCAAAGGCAATTGGTCCATAAGTATGTGTAATTAGATAAATATCTTGTCCCACAGGAACTTTTCATCTTGTGTCAAGTCTATTATGCAGAACTATTAATTATATTTTTTTTATTTTATTAACATAAAGGATATGAAATATTTTTCATGTGACAGGAATAACATTTTGTTGATTATACTAAATGCAGGAAGTATATTATTAATTCAACATCTTGCTAAGATAAGCTATTTATGAAGCTTTTAGTGATTTATTGTAAGGTTTTCCCTTTTATTCTCTACTTTATCGTGTCTTACAACGTAGTTTTATTAATGGGCTGGATTTAGATAAACATCTAGAAAGTGGCAGTAGGCGAGGGCGTCCGACAAGCTTCTTGCACATGGCCCAAAAATGCCTGGGAACAGATCAGCGGGTAAACTCATTCGAGCGTTCGATCTGGAACAGCGAATGGCACTTGTGATCGATATGATTGTCGTATATCTTGTCCTTGAAAAGGAATGCCAATGATTATGCGATTTATAACAATAGTTTTTAGATACATTTCGCAGATGAAATATTCAATTCGCGATATCTCTGATCATCTTTCCAACTATTTCTGAAGATGATATCTCTTACTAGCGTGTAGGAGGTACAATAGATTGCGTGTAGATAAATGCTCAGTAAGAATTGCTCAGTAAGAGCAGCTCAGTAGCGAATTGCTGCTTCACGCCTAATCTAGCATCTATGATATCTTTTAAATGACGCGGTGTTCCTTCAGTTTTCGCAATTATCAGACGACATGTGTTTTCATGCTCGTTATACCTCAATTAATTATGTTATTATCCATTTAATTTAACAACAATGTCTCGTTCTGCTTCATAAATGTGCAGAAATCTGAGATAGACATTGGCTCATTTGGCCTTCAGGCTAAATGCCGAAGTTGCGCTAATGCAGTGAGCATTTATGCAAGTATAACGCGATGCAGCGTAACCTGCTTTTACTATTAGTTGCAGTTTTTATTTCGCAGCTAATATAATCGAAATTGTGTTGAGTCATTAATAACGTATATAGTGAGTTGAATTTATCACTGCTTAATATTGTTTTACTTTAAATTAATTATTATAATAAAAGACATCAAAATGTGTGCAGTAGTAAATGTGTATGTATTTTATATGTATATATTCTATGCGTACATATATAAATTTTAACGATGCAAAAGAGAGAGCTATAAAATGGATATGCGTAGCAGTCAGAATTTTTCAGTATAGACATAACATAAAAATATTTCAGCAACCGGAAAGAACGGTTAAATAAGACTCATTTGTGATTTAATAGTAATTAATGGAATCTCAAGTTACATATATCTCGTTTCACTTTCACGTCCATGATCAGTTTCCAAATCTTGCTTCCTACATACGTATTTCGCCAAAGACCTTGCAGATAATCATGAAAGTCATTAGTACTGCTTATAATTTTAGTATTTAAATTAATTAAAATATATTTAAAGAATTTGCGTCGAATTATTTATAAAATATACGAAAGAAAAGTTTTGAAAACGCTATTTTGAATATAATACATCTTGCTACAACAGTTTACGTTTTTTCTAAGAAAAGTTTTTAAAAATATTATACTGAAATACATTATATAAATATTCCAAAAATGACTATAACTAGATGATCTGAGCATTTCTTTCTCTTTCATCATTTAATTTTATTTACTAATTATTATAAAACTGTTTTTTTTTATACATGGATTCTGTTTAATTTTTAATATCCTAATCAGCTTTTCTTATTATAAAAAGAAGATATTATTTATTATACAAAGAATATAAAGAATATATTTATAAAAAGATATGTCACAACATATAAATATCAGAGAAGGACTACTATATACGATTCAGGAAGCTTTCAATTATCGCATTAGCGAAGTTTAGATTATAGTTTTTATCACATATACGTCATTACTTAATATACTAAAAAACATTTAATGTCTGTCTGCAAATAACCATAAATGCGACAGCGTCGTAAGAAATATAGCGCGCTATATTTTTTTTATATATATCAAAGGAATATTTTTAGAATCGTCGTAAATTTTACTATACACACATTCACACATAAACCTATAATTATTTCTATTTGAGATCGAGAAAGATAGCCTATAAAAAGTTATTTGGAAAAAAAACATGCATAAAAAAACAAATAAATATACAAAATCGATGCAAATTCTCCAATTTGTCGTTTGCACTTTTTGGCCATAGATTCGAAAAATTATTAGGAAAACCAAGTAGCTTTTAATTCATGGGAATTTAGAGAAGATTGAGATGTTACGTGGCTATACCTGGAACGTGCGTCGAGGTTCTCATGTATTGAAATGAAGAGGCAATATGTAAGACGCAGTCAGCTGCTTTTTTCGGTTACGTATACATTCGTAATCTCGACGAGACGGACACGTTTCTCTCCGCTTTTACTTTCTCCGGTATTTTGTATGTTGTGTGGCGCGTTAAATCTGATCAGGATGAGATCGAGTTCTGCAATAACGCGCGTGCGGCCGCGCATTTCAATCGGCGAGATAATAACGCGAGATAGCGTCGCTGACAGTAGATAGTTTATTGAATTCCGACGAGAAGTGAGACATCGATCGATCGCACGTATTATGCGTCGCCGATCCTTTTCCATCCAGGTTATTTCCATATTCGCGATCGATCGACAGAAATCATTACGACCTAGCGCCCGTTTGCGACTCCGCGGTGCGTCTGAACGTTCTCGTGAAATTAAAAGACGTCTCTCCAGGAAGGTGAAGTTGACTAATCGGAATGATCCGCGTAATCGGAGATGACAGCGGTTACATATCGTAGCCAGTGATTTACATGTATTACGTTAATCAGTGTAATGTACCAGATAATTCCCTTCAGCGTAGAGACGCCTTGACTAATCGATAGTCAATCTTTTCTTGGTAAATATTGACGAAATTTCAATTTCCAATCTTAACTAGCTAAGGCTCTTGCACGACCGTAATAAAATTGGTACAGGACACACAGTCTAAGATTTCTTAAATATATTTTACTATCAAATTCAAAGATAGATGAACGATTACTACGTTGAATAATATTAATAAAAAGATTTACAGTGATAAGAAAATTAAGTATAGAATAAAAGAAAAGTAAAACAGTTTCAAATAATAAAAATTTTAAAAAATTTATCAACTATAATTACAGTGCGGTAACTTTTTTACTTCATTTTTCCTTCTAATGTAACAAGATATTAGATCGCAAAATTATCTTAGAATCCATCGCTGAAAGAATAAGCTAGAACGACTGTGAATGCGATCGTGTGTTGGGAATCCAGTTCACTTGAGACAATCTCGGAGGTGGCGAACGTGTCGTCACCGCACGTTGTGTCGCGCGGCGACCGCAATCCTTTTTTTCCCTCTCGGTGCTCTCCTCCGCCATAGAAAGTGAGCACACAGGCGTGGTACGTGAGGTACAACGCGAGGGAAAACGGCAACTCATTAAAACGTGCAACATGCGAATGGCGAAACACCCCGGATTCGGACCTACGAAGCGTCCGGCTTGTGACTCGAGATATGGCCCGCGGATAAAAATTGAATCCGGTCGAGGCCGAAAAGTTTCCATTCTAGATGATAATAAGACTACCGGAATGTTCGCATACCGTCGTAAAATCGATTGTCAAAACCAGACCTGGAAGCTGGACGAAAGTCCAGCCCTCGAATATAAAAGACTCCTTTCTCCTTGAGCGCTCTCCTTGTGCGTATTGCTTTTGACGTTACGAATGTAAAAAGAGGACCGATATTTTTTTGTTACGACCTGCAAGAGACAACCTGACAGCACGGAATGAGTGTTGAATAACTGCGAATTTTATTGCTTAACAATAAATCATGATGTTAGTTCCTGATTAAATTGTAATAAGAGTTGCATGGTGACAATCGAAAGGAAGGAATTGAAGATAATGTATAAGTATATAAAAAAATATTCTGATCTGAATATTGAAAAAAAATATATCTTGTAAAATAAATAATTAAATTAAAAATTATACAATGTAATGACAAGAGGAAGAAGAATAATGTCGGTAATAATTAATTTGGAATTTGGACGATCTTGATGGAATGTTAGGAAAAAAGGAAGTAGTAATCGTAACTTTTATGTCTTTCCTTTCAAATTTTTTTCCTCGTCCAACGAAAGTTCATTTAAGCCAGCACGAACTCGGAGTACTCGGTCATTTATAATTGACGCGAGAATCATATATCCCACGTTGACATCCTGTCAGGCTGTATGCCATGTAACTGGTGCCACGTATCCGCATCATCGGGTTTCAAAACCGGATTCAGAGACTGCACAATGTGGTCGACAAAAGACGATCCTTTCTCTCTTTTTGTCCCGGAATATCGTCGATTGCGTTACGTAAACCGCACGCCACCATACAGGACCTTTTTCACCGGGGTGGCGTATCAAAAGTATCAATATTTATCAGATTGCCCCTCGATCGATGTGTTTGCTCGTCAAGGGAGATTCGAGGCGAATTCGAGCGTTTGACGTATTATGAGTCATCGGGCACCATTAGGTTCATTTGCGTCACTCGAGATGTTAATGAGGAGAAAACTGAAATTGGAGCAAACGCTCGACCAGTGGTGTTTCCCACGAAACTGAACGATCGCGTTTGCGGTCGATCATTTTGACCCTGTTTTCCCCTGCTGTCCAGACCACCACTGATGAACCTAGAGCTAGATCGTCGGAACTAATT